CCCCCCCCCTCCCCCGCCCCTGCAAGCAGCTGGATGGATTTAACAGGCAGAATTCCCTCTTCACGCTGCCAGGGAGGAGTCAGCAGGGCGTGAAGAGGAGGGAAGGCTGGCCTCTGACCTGGACTTTGAAGGACAGTAGGATTTGCCACGAGGGTAGAGGTGAGGCCCGGGGAGGGGGAATAGCCTTGGGGCCAGATGGTTAAGTTCATGCTCACCGTTCTCCCACAGGCCCACCTGCAGGTCTAAGGAGGGGCTTTGCCACGGGCAGTGGAGGCTGGGCGCCTGCACTAGGGCCGGTAGGCCTGGGCGCTGTGCAGCGGGCGGCCAGGATGTGACATCGGGGTAGTTTCAAGGTGCCAGCCAACAGCCTGGGAGAGAGGCAACGTGGCCGGAGCAGCGAGTTCGAGTGGCCCAGGCCTGGATGGGACAAGGCCAGGGGAAAGCGGGCGGTCGAGGACATGCTGGGTTTCCCAGCCCTGGCACAGGTGGTTGAGCAGTTCCCCCCCCCACCCCCGCAGTGCTGGCAGAGGAGGAGGGGCGGGGCTGGTCTTGTCAGGGTGGGGGGGGTGGGGTGGAGAGGGGAAGGCAGCTGGGCTTGATTTTGCCAGATATGGGGGGGCAGCCAGCCTCCCAGCAGGTCCCTCACAGCTCCCCCGCTGTGCGTCCCCTCTCCCCATCCCCCCAAGTCAGGGCCCCCTTGGAGAAGTTCCAACCAGTGTCAGACTCTTAACCTTACTGAGCCTGAAGGGTGGGGGGAATGGCCCGCAGGGGGAGTGACCTGTCTGCTGAGGGTCAGAGGGACAGGTTGCCAGGCTGGGGCAGGGAAGGCAGAAACTTAAGCCGTGCACCGTGGAGAGGAAGGGTTAGCCCCCTTTGCAACGTCAGTCACCCACAGACCAAACAGACCCACCACGCTGGCTCATCCGGAACGTGGCCTCCGGCCCTTGCAGAAACCCCACATGGCGTGAGGCCTGCCCAGAGACCGGCCGCCCCTTACCCGCCTGGGCCACAGACTTTTCGGCTCTCCCATCTCACGGACAATCAGACGTTAGAGAGGGTAAGACCGTCAGTACCCTCTTACAGACAAGTAAGAGAGAGAGAGAGACAGAGAGAGACAGAGAGGAGGTGGCTTGCCTATGGTCCTGTCACAGCTGGACAGCGACCAAGACCATCCGCGGGCACTGTCCACCTTCCCCAGGAGACCCCAGGCCGGGAAGCCCGAGCTCCCACCCAGCCACATGGGTACCTGGCCCTGTGGCACTTCCTCTCTGGCCACCGCGGCCCCTTATGCGCCCCAGCTTGGGGGCAGGAGGAGGCTGGCTCCGGAGGGGCCCTTCACAGGCATGAAGCCAGCCTCTGGTTCAGAGTGAGAAGCGAGGCCCAGAAAGAGAAATGACTTGTCTGGGGTCACGAAGCTTGCTAGGGGCGGGTTGGGGCTGGAGCCCTTGGCTGTCAACCCCTAAGCGTCCCCTGTTCCCCCCTCCCCGCCCCCCTCCGCTCCTCAAGCTTGTAAGGCAAGGTCTGGGGGAACCAGTTCTTCCTCCCTCTGCCCTTGAGCTTTGAAGTCACCCGTGGGTGGCTGGTGCTGGTGCTGTAGGGACGTCTGGTGTCCCCTCCGCCACTCAGAGGAGCGGCAGCCAGACAGACAGGAGGCTGCCCGTGGAGGACTGCAGCGGGGCGGAGGCGGGGGGGAGCCGCCCCGGGACCGGAACGATGGAGTGTGGGGTTCCGAGGCTCGGCCTTGAGGGTGCCTGCAAACGCCCTCGGAGCCTCCAGAGCAAAGGCCTGGCCTCCAGACTCTCCCCCAAAGAGCCATCCATTTGCTCATTCATTTATTTATCGTGGCTCATGCAGTGCTTCCCCAGGCCTGGCCCCGCTGGCGCCACCAGACCCGCTGGCGCCACCAGACCTGCCTTCTGGCAGCCTGGGGAGGGACACAGGCGAGGACCTACACTGCAGGCCGAGGCGGGGCTGGGGGGGGGAGGGTCCCGGAGGCCCCCCTGGCTGCCGGAACCGCTTGGAGCCACGCAGAGCCAGCTTGGCCACTTCTAGCTCCTGGTTTGGAGCC